TACAAATTATAGTACTTTGCGTAGACTAATCAAATTGGATTTATTACCAAAGTGCGATTTAAATCCTAATCACAAATGCGATTAATGTGTAGAAGCCAAAATGGCACGTTTACCCTTTCGTTCTATTGAAAGAAGTACCGAACCTCTAGATTTAATTCACACTGACATATGTGATCTAAAATTTGTTCAAACGAGAGGAAGTAATAAGTACTTTATTACTTTTATTGATGATTGCACTCGATATTGCTATGTGTATTTACTCAAAAGCAAAGACGAAGCAATTGAAGAGTTTAAACATTACAAGTTGGAAGTTGAAAATCAACTTAGTAAAAAGATTAAGGCTATAAGAAGTGATAGAGGTGGTGAATATGATTCGCCATTTGAACAATTCTGTTCGGAACACGGAATAATTCAACAAACTACTGCGCCTTATTTTCCTCAATCCAATAGTATTGCTAAATGCAAAAATCGAACATTGAAAGAGATGATGAATACTATGTTGATAAGTTCTAGATTACCGCAGAACTTGTGGGGGGAAGCTTTGCTTTCTGCCAATTATCTTCTTGACAAATTATCACATCGAAAAACGTATAAGATACTTTATGAAGTATGGAAAAGTCACAAACCTAATTATAAATACTTAAAGGTATGGGGATATCTGGCCAAGGTAGTAGTTCATAAACCTAAAAGGGTGAAGATATGACCTAAAACCATTGATTGTATATTCATTGATTATGCCTACCATAGTAATGCATACAGATTTATGGTACACAAGTCTGAAATACCCGATGTGCATGTTAATACGATTATTGAATCAAGGGATGCTACATTTTTTGAAAATGTTTTTCTTTATAACATACAAAGTGAATCAAATTCATAGAAGAGATCTCGTGAAAATGAGGAGGCTATAAATCAAGAACCTATAAATGAACAACCTAGACGCAGTAAGAGGGCTAGGACGTCAACCTCCTTTGGGCATGACTTTCTAACATATTTGTTAGAAAATGAACTTCAAAGTTTTAAAGAAGCTATGTCATCAACAAAAGCTTCATATTGGAAAGAAGCTGTTAATAGTGAAATTGAATCCATACTACAAAATCATACATGGGAATTAGTAGATCTTCCTCACAGTAATAAGCCATTGGAATGTAAATGGATTTTCAAAAGGAAAATGAAAGCAGATGGATCAATTGATAAATATAAGGCTAGACTTGTCTCTAAAGGCTACAAGCAAAAAGAAGGTCTTGATTATTTCGATACCTATTCTCCTGTGGCAAGGATCACTTCCATACGTATGCTTATTGCGATAGCAGCGTTGAGAGGTTTGGATATACATCAAATGGATGTTAAAATAGCTTTCCTGAATGGAGAGTTAGATGAAGAAGTTTATATGGAGCAACCTGAAGGATTTGTCGCCCCAGGACAAGAAAAGAAAGTGTGTCGACTTGTTAAATCACTTTATGGATTAAAGCAAGCTCCTAAAAATTGGCATGAAAAATTTGATACAGTTATGATGTCAAATGGTTTCAAAATTAAGGAGTGTGACAAATGTGTTTATGTCAAGAGCATTCAAAATGGATATGTCATGGTATGTTTATATGTAGATGACATGTTTATTATGGTAACAATGATATCATAATTCAAGCTACTAAAAGGATGCTAACAAACAAATTTGAAATGAAGGAATTAGGTGTGGCCGATGTTATATTAGGAATTAAAATCTCTAGAACATCCAATGGTATCATATTGTCTCAATCACACTACATTGAAAATATTCTTGAAAAAATAAAAAAAAATGATATTATTCCTATGAAAACACCTATGGATGTCAGGATGCATCTTGTTTCTAAACGGGTGACTGTAAGTCTCAATTGGAATACTCTTGAATTATTTGTAGTTTAATGTATATCATGAACTGTACTCGACCTGATATTGCTTATTCAATTAGTAGGCTAAGTCGATATACAAGCAATCCAAACGTTGATCACTAGAAGGCAATTATTAGGGTTTTAGGGTATTTAATACATACCAAAAACTTTGGATTGAACTATTCGAGATATCCAGCAGTACTTGAAGGATACTGTGATGCAAATTGGATATCGGATACTAAAGACTCCAAGTCAACAAGTGGATATGTCTTTGCACTTGGAGGTGCTGCAGTGTCATGGAAATCTTCAAAATAAACATGTATAGCTAGATCAACGATGGAATCTGAATTTATCGCGTTAGATAAAGCTGGAGAAGAAGCCGAATGGCTACGAAACTTCCTAGAAGATATTCCATGTTGGATAAAACCTATACCTGCTATATGTATCCATTGCGATAGTCAATCAGCAATTGGTAGGGCACAAAATGCTATGTATAACGGTAAATCTCGACATATACGTCGTAGACACAATACCGTTCGACAATTGCTCTCTACTGGCATTATCACTACAGATTATGTGAAATCAAAAAAGAATATTTTGGATCCGCTAACTAAAAGTTTAACAAGAGAGCAAGTTGAAAGTTCATCAAAGGGGATGGGATTAAAACTAATAAAATAATCAAATGTTTTCATGGTGGCAACCCAACCTAGTTGACTGGAGATCCCAAGATCTAGGTTCAATTGGACAATCTAACTGTGAAAAACTTAGAAGCACTGGGTAGATTATCACTCCTACCCATTCCTATGATGAGCCAGTGCCTAACTGCCGTGAAATAGGTTAAGTTATGCTTTTAATGGTTTCTATATCTTGATTCGTTTAAATGGAGTATAGCAGAATACTCTTTATGAAAATCACCTATGTGGGTGAGAAGGGGTCGCTTCTAAGAGAATCAGATGAAGATGAATTCTCTAAAAAACACTCATGAACCAGGAGGTGTCCAAGGCCAAAATGGACACAAACGTGAGAACCAACTGTGTTCAAAGAGAACTGTGTGACTTCTCTTGTCTAAGTTTACATGAACAACTGACTGTTCAAAGCAATTTGCTACTAATTGGCTAAGTAAATCCGATAGATTTTACTAGAGAAAGTTCAAAGTCTTTGGCTACTTATCTTGATGCAGTTTTCTTCAATTTTCTTCAGAAAAACATATCAGATGTTGTTGTTTGGAAAAGGCCAACATATTTCATTCATGTGGGGGATTGTTAGAAAATGGTATGAAATGGGTCAACTTTGGACCAAAATTTCAGTGGGACACATCTTAATTAATACGGGACCTAGTATATTCACGCTCTACTCCGCAAGGTGATGAACGTGGTATATTTATTTATCGAAAACCATTTAGAATTGAATGAAATATTTGATGTCAAAGTAACTCACTTGAAACTATGAATTAGTGAAGAATTTGATTTGCCCAAACACTTATCCCACTTAGGAAAGTTATAAAACTTTGGTGTAATTTATATGGTGCAAGTTTGAGAATTGGGTTTGGGCCCTAAGGGGTACGAATAGTTTTTGGAAGGGGGGAGGCCTATATCATATCGGGTTCGATCATAAGTCTACACGCGCGCGCCGTCGTCGCCATCTGTACGACCGGCCGACTTAGCTCGGTACGGGTGCGTCCTTGCATTATATTAATTTTTTGAACAAAATTTATTTGAATTTTTGGACCAAATTGTATACAATCAAATTCTTGGGTACTTAATAAAATTTATTTTTTATGGCTTTTTCCGGGTAATTTTTTGGATGATTGTTAAACAGTCAACTATTAACCGACCAAATAGTCGACTGTTAACCATTGACCGTTAACCAACTTAATAGACACAGTATTGAACTAACATGTCTGTTGGAGTTTTGGAGGCTGTCTGAACAATGACGACTATTCTGAAGGGTGTTCGAATGGTCACGAACGAGTCTATAAATAGCCTGCCTCGTTGTCAGAAAAATTACATCATTTTCATTGCAAATTTTCTCTGCTTTAAATCTCATTCTCCCTCTCGTTCCAATACTGTTTTCGAAGTAAAAATACTTCGTTGCATTGGTTGGAACTCCTGCAGATTGCTGTGCTGTTTCCGTAGGAGATGAAATTCGTTCTATCCTGGAAAACGATTGTTGGACACCTTTAGCACCGTTGAAGGTAACAAATTCGTTTTAAGGAAATATCGTGAAATCGGTGGGCTCGAATTTAAATTTCTATAATACTGTTATGATAATTCTTTCGAATTGTTTGAAGGGGAAACTTATACTTTAGGAATAACAGTTATTGTGAATCCAGTTTTTGAGTTACTAAAGTGAATCAATTTGGGAAATTCCACTCATTATGGATCTAAAATTATTCACATTTATTTTGTGTTTGACTTTGGACTCTTATTTGTTTGGATCTACCAGTTCAAAATTATCAACATTTTGTTGATTCTTTGATATTAGGAAGCATCGATGGGGCTTTTTAGAAGTCTTGCGATGCTTCTTCTCTCAATATGGTTATTTTTCTTGATAAGAGTTTCCAGATCGCAGTCGCCTAATTCTTCAACAAGTGATGCTCGTGCTCTAGATTTAATTCTCCAAGGCTATACTTATCAGGCATTTGTTCGTCCCAGGACTGGTGTTGTATATAATGGGACTGTTCCCTCTAATTTGACAGGAATTACGATTTCAGCATTAAGGCTTAGAAGTGGAAGCCTGAGGACAAAGGGTGATCACATGTTCAAAGAATTTGAAATTCCTAAAGAAGTTCGAGAGGAACCTTATGTTTAGAGGCTTGTTTTGGTCTACCAAAACTTGGGCAATCGGTCTAAGGTGTATTATCCTCTGCCTGATTATACATATTTAGGTCCTGTATTAGGCTTTCTTGCTTATGATGCTTCTGACTTGATGGCTAAAAACTTGCCTGAACTGGATATTCGGGCATCTGGTCAGCCAATATCCATTAAGTTTTCGAATTTGAAAGCAGCGCCAGAGCAGAGCCGGTCCTGAGGCGAGGCAGATGAGGACTGCGCCTCAGGCCAAAATTGGAAGGGGGCCTCACTTCGCCATTTTTCTCCTTTTTTTTTCTTTTTTTCTTTTTTTTGCAATTAAATGAAAAAGCTGGAAGGAGACAGGGGCGGACCCATTAAGGCCGAGTGGGGTCGGTCGCCCCCAATGACTCCGACGAAATTTACAGGTTGGAAGTCCAACGTTGGAACCAGTCATTGCCGACTGCTGCTGAGGGAGATGATTGCCGCTGCTGAAGGTTGAAGGAGATGAAAAGGTTAGTAGATTTTTTATTTTTTTTTAAGTAGTGGGCCTTTGTTTTAGGCCTGTTTTTGGATTTTAAAACAATTGGGCCAAAGGCTTGTTGGCTGCCCTTTTTTGTAGAATTCATACATACCCTAATGAGTATCTTACTCACTGTGAGCCTCCGTCACTGGTGCTGTGAGCCTCTCTTCTCTTTTTTTCCCTTTTTTTTCGTTTTTATTTTTTTAAGTTCAATTTCATGCCTTTCTCCTTTAGAACATAAAGTCTTGAAGTGATATTTTATATGTCTCCATCATTTAATTGATGATTCAGTATGTGAATTGTGATGATTTATAATTTATGAAAACTAAAAAATTTGTGAAATTGTAAATCTGTGGACTATGATTTGTGAGGGCAATTTGTGAAATTGTGAATATGTAGAGAAAGATTTTTGAAAAAAGAATTATTGTGAGGGGAATTTGTATATGATTTTTACGTTATATTATGTTTATATATGGATTGAAAATTTTTAATATTATTTAATAAATATTAATAAACTATACCGCTAAGACGGACATTGATGGTTGATCTAGCTCACCGGATCAAGCACTAGTCTCTCTCCCACTGTATTTTAATATTGGGTTCATAATACACTGTTGAATTTTGTAATTACCTTGACTTTTGGGGGGCCTAATTTACAAATGGGAAAAATTCATTTGTAAGAGTTTATTTATAGCCTACTTCAAAATTAAGAGGAGAAGGTTTGCAATTTCAAATTTCAGATACTATTAATGAAATAATTGATTAAAAAAATATTTTATTAATTAAACATATTAAGGCCACAAATCTATATATTTGGTCACAACTTATCAAGTTAATTGGTCACAAAATTATTTATAAGTTAATTGATGTCTCTTAATGAGATATCAGTGCATGGATTGATACTAGAAATGTAGAACCTTAGCTGTGCGAGTCTTTCTAGAATGATGTATTGAGATCGAAAGATTTTAAGCTCTCACGTATTCATGTCTGTCCACTTCAAGAATGAATTTAGCCAAGATCCTTCTTGTTGTTGAAAATTATATTCTACTTCATGCAAATGTAGAGAAGAATGGAGTGAGAGAGAAATGCAGAGACGTTTTAGGGATTTACTTAATGGTTGCTATTAAATTTATCTTTCATATACAATTTAAATTTATCTTCAACAATTAATTGGTTGTCGTGGTTGCTGTTAAATTTTGATTTCATAATTGTGAGTTGTGATAGTGGAATTCTCAAAGTGCCGCATTGTGTCATTTCATAATTTTTGCTCAATTCATATTTTTCAAGTAAGCAATGGCTTGCCCATGCTTATTTATAAACTATTAAACATATAGGAAATGTTCGAAGCCTTGTCGGCTTATATATTGCATTGTAGTATTGCACTCTTGTCGAATTATATTGACTTTTGTTAGATTTAATCGTAGGATCAATTGTTTGAGCCCCATTTTTGGTATAAAATGCATTTTGGAGTAGTAGACAAATTTTTTTTTTTTTTTTTTGTTTTTGTTTTACAGTTGAGTATTAAATTAACAATTGATACCATAATACACATATTTTGCATGCAAATTTTTTTTTTTTTTCTTTTTTTGGTGGGGGAGGGGGGCCTAATATTTTAAGTTCGCCCCAGGCCCCAACAGCACAGGATCGGCACTGTGCCAGAGGGTTCAGTTCTAATGTGCATTTCATTTCATTTAAATGGTTCGGAGAATTTCAGCAACGTGTTGTCAGAAAACATATGTACAACATTCCAACAGGGGCATTTCTCTATTGTGGTTGAATCAATTGCACCCTCTCCCACTAACTTTTCTCCTACACCAGTACCACCAGGAGGTGCCCCAAAGCATGCTCCAAAAACAAATGGCAAAGGGAAAAAGAACAATTCGAAAGTCTGGATAACTGTTGGGTCAGTGGTAGGAGGATTAGCTTTGTTGGTTTTGCTCGGACTTCTGGAATCCTGGCTGCGCAAGTACATGCATAGGAGGAGAATACAGCAAATGGAGAGGGCTGCAGATATTGGGGAAATATTGCACATGACTACTGTTGGAAGCGCAAAAGCACCAGCAGCTACAGTGACGAGGACAAAACCGACAATTGAGACTGAATATGTGCCCTAAATTTGACATCTGTTTTTACTGGAAGCTCTCAACCATTCGCATTCATCTTAGATTCATTTCCTTCCATGTTCTTCTGAGTGCCCTATGTTTCTTGGTGTCCAATCCATTATTTAGTTCGTTCTTTGGTAGGTTATTGGTTGTCATGTGGAGGAATATAGGACTAATTGGTGTACATAATAATCTGTCACCTCTCATTTAATCGATTTGCTATGGTTTGCATTTGGCTGTAAACCAAGACAGTCAGATTTCATGTCTGATAAATTTTTCTGTCCCTCTGAAAAGGAATAAAGTTTAATGGCAGTTTTTTCTTTCCAGATTCTTGTATTTTGTATGAAGCCTAAGCACTCTTAATTTCTTTGTCCCCTTGAAAAAGTGAAAAATCTAGGCCCCTGTTTGGCAGAAATTTTTTAAAATAGATTATGGGGAAAATGGTTTTTGGAAGAATGTATTGTTAAAAAGTAATATAAGTTATGGGTTCATGGGAAATTATTTTAATGGGAGAATGTTTATTTGGAAACTTATTTGTGACAAAGTTGAACTAAAAAATGCTTCCTTATGGGCACAAGTTGTTTACTTTGGCTAATACATTGTGGCATGCTTTCTTGGATTACTTCACAGCAATGGATGTCTATACGGTCAAATGGGTGTCTGCCAGCATTTAATTCAGATAATGAAAAGAGGCTTAGTGGCACCTAGACCGGACGAATAGCATTATTCAGAGATTTAACATGCTTGAATGTGATTTATAGAGTTGAGTTGCATCTTGGTCAAAACTTCTCATAGAACTGAGTGCGGGTTGCATCTTGATGCCAAAATAAGATAAAATGGCATGTGGGTTGGTATTTGTCTAACAAAACCGGCAACTATATCTAGGGTTGTAGTTGTGCGTAGAACCAGGTCCCCGGCTTTGTAGAGATGTGGAATTGAGTGCATGGGTTTAGTAAATTTAAGGGTGCTGCCAAGTGAAGCACAGTAAAAGCAAGTTCACAGCTGGGTATCCAAGCACAAACAAATAAACAAACCAGAGTCTAGTGAAGCTGTCTTTTTCAGGTGAATGTATGTTGGCGATACAAATCTTATCTCGCCTAACTATGATTTTCACTTCCTAAAGATCCCATTGTGTGTAGACCTACCATCCATGATTAGAAAGTCTATGTATCAATACAATACAGTTGGCTCCTTGCCTATCTCAATGGTTAGGGTAATCTGTCCTCTAGGGATCAGAGCAACTATAAAAGGGTTCAGCCGTGAGTACCCATGGATGATCGGCCCCACATTTGGTTAAAAGCACTTTCAAATAATATATTAAAAGAGCTGTCATTATACATAGCATGTGGCTAAGGGCGTTGCGAGCTATAATAGCTCGCACTACTAGTGCATCGCGGTGGGGATATATGACTCCCTGCTCATCATCGTTATCTCGAATCCAAAAGTTCTCCAAGGCTTCTTGGCAGTTCAAAAATAATTCTTTCACACATTTGTTGTTTCCCTACCAATATAAGGACTTCTAATAATAGTATGGATCTCTCTTACTGGAGGTCGAGGGTGTTGGCTGCCTGTTGGTGCTCATAAGGAGTCTACATGCCTTGACCAATCTTCGCAACCTCACCCTCTGCTCCTTGTTTATGGAGGCTTTCGATGGTTTTATTTTTAGACCTCACAACTTTGCCATCCTTATTACCTTGTATTATTCATCCGTATCATGATCCCTACTATAATGAATTTTACAAAATTTTATCTTACGATTTTTAGAGGACGAAGGAGTTTTGTCTGTTACTTGTGAAGAAGCTGGAGAGATCACGTGCACTTTACTTTTGTGGTCATTAAGACATGGGTATTGATACTTTGGCGGTCTAGGTGCATATGTCGAGGTTGAGAAGTCGACCATGTTCTACTTGCTTTTCAGTTTTATATTTATCCTCATTCTGGATATCTTTTTGTATCAAACTTACTAGCTAATGGTAGGAGGTAGGATTTTTGTTACAGGCATCCTTCAAAAGGGAGTCTCCATTAGTAATATGTTCCATAAGGCGTTTTGAGCCTTCTCATCCAAAATCGTTTTGCAAGCTATCGATTTTACACTGAAACGCGCAAAGTAGCTCTTAAGAGACTCACCTTCTCCCTACCGCATGTCATTGAGTCTCGTAGTTGTGGCTTGCCCCATCTTGCTTCCTACAAATGCCCTAGGAAAGATTGCTTTAACTGCGGTCAACCCCGAATTGAACCTAGTGGCAACTTACTATATCATCGCTTGGTCGATCTATACTAAGTAAGATGAAAGGCTTGGCATTTAAGACCAAGACTTGCTTTGTTCAATCATATTTATGTCATGTAATCACGCAAAGGGTACGTAGGATCTCCTTTGCCGTTGTACTTATCCATAATCGGACCGATGAATTTATCCGGAATCGACGACTCCTTGATCCTCCTAGAGAATGGTAGATGTTCGTCGTCGTCATCCAATTCCCTCATATTATTCATCCAGAAGAGTGTTATATGAGGTATTGAAAAGGGTTTCAAACCTCCGGCCCTATTAACGACTAACTATTCCTCCTATCATGGGAGGTAACCTCCTTCGAAAACCTTTCTTTTGTAGGCCTATTCGTGCAATGCCACTTGAGCGTCTTTTCCGATGTACTGTCACTGGTTTTTTACACCTACACGCTAGTATCATCACAAAAAGTACTATTAATGGGATCTGTTTCATTTTACTTAATTTCTCCTGCTTGCTTGCCTTTGTGTTCTCCATCATTGCTTATAGAGAAGCATTCTATGATGTCATCGCTTTCAAGCTTTTAGCCATCTCTCGAATGATTTTGGTAAAAGAAATTTTTCTGCAAGCGACAACGATGTGCACAAGAGATGCCGGCCTGGGCTTCTGCCGTAGTCTTCTCCCTCTATCTTTCACAATTCACGTCAATGTCTGGTGGACAATCGCTACATTCTCCGACTTCCTTCTCTAATGTTTCATCTTCTCTGATTTCCCTTCAATTTGACTTATGATTTCAAATATTAGAAATTTCGAACCTTTTTAGATGTAACAAAATTTTCGTGCTCTATATTGTTCAAGGAGTTCCCAAAGACAACGCCAATTTGTTAAAGATACAAATCTGATCAACAAGTCATATTCACCTAACTATGATTTTCACCTTCTAAACTCAAGTTTTGATGCTAAATCAAAGCGAGAAGGGAAAAAGCTATTTGAGATAGAAATATTTGAATTACAAGATTTTCTTTTCAAATGAGAGGTATTTATAGATTTTCTTTCAAATTTTGGGTGTAATTTGATCATTTTAAGGGAATAACAGGTGCAGATCCTTATTGACTATCTTATAACCAATTCAGTTAAGAATTACGCTTTATTCATTGGCCCACGTGCCTTTAATTGAACTATCTGTAGCCAACTTGAATGCGAAAAATGTTTTATAAACTTTAGGCAAGTCTTTTGTATCTTCATTCCCTCGCGTGTCGCTTTACACTTCGCTCATAGCTAATTAGGTTCGCGAATTCCGTTTTCAGGGTTAACAATGTATATTTAGTCCGTGCAGTTGAAAAAGTAAAAGACAAATATGCCAACATCTGTGCATAATGAGAACAAAAGATGAAGATATTATAAAGAATAATATTACTTGCAGTCACTTACTATCGCAATCGCCTTACATGATATACATGTGTCGATTAGTAATTTGATATATAAGGTAAAAAAAAATTATCACATTAATACATCAAATCACAAATTGTCATGTAGGATAACTACCACAGTAAGTGACTATAAATAACATTACTCTATTATAAATAATAAAAATTTGATAACAATCGAGGAACAACTTACACAACTGTCCCTTTAGCGAATGAATAATCATTTGATGAACAAATAATTTTTCGGAAAAACACGGACCAATTTAAGCATTACGGACACTTGAATTGTTCATACCCCCTACTCCTTGGACAAGTAACATTAATTGTTACATTACTAATGCCAAAATAATTACAGTTAACTAACACGATAAACATAAAAATGTTATTTTTAAAAAGTTTGAATACAAAACACTGCGACAACAAAGAATTAAAATTAAAATTTAATTTTGTAAATTCAATTTTAAGATTTGGAACAGCTATTTAACTTCAGTTCAAACACAAATAACTTTTATATTTATTGCAATAAAGGATTAAAGGCCACAGTTAAGTTTTTTCCCTTAAAACCTCTTAACAAGTATTAATTCGTAGTTGAAATCTGCCATAAAGTCCATAACCTTGCGCAATTCTTAACCAAATTTTTGAATTTTATGGTAAAAACTTTATGTACTATTTCTTTAAAGCTTCCAAGTTTTTGTACAACTCAGCCACTTTACAAATCTTTCCTGCTTACAAATGAAGTACAACTGTGAACTTCTAAAATTCACTCATAAATGATGAATCCAAATCCAGACGGAAAAGAAATAATCTTAACGGAGCAGGCAAATACAAAATCCATCCAACATTTAAGACCTCAAAAATGGATTCAATTCTTGAGAAATAACACGGATCCTTCCATCCAACTTTCACAATTCATCAACATTTTGTTTGTAGAAATAAGTGCACAAAAGTTCTATGGTTATCTCACGCATCGCTAACGGTCGCAATGTGGGAATTCGATTTCTGAAACATGAAATTGAACTCCGTGTAAGCGCATTGTACAGACAGCTCTTATTTCATGACCTGTTGGGACACATCGCGATTTACCCCCCTCACAAAACTTTAGAGACGAGCGGTGGAGGCCTTCAAGGTTGGGGTTCAACCCCATTTCATTACGCAAACCTACCAAATCAACAAATTACCTGTAGACTTTTCTTTTCTTTCTTTGAAAAAACACCACTTTCAAACATTTTCAAAGCTCTTAGCACTACCACCACTTGTGTTTAGCAATGCAACTCGTTTACCAAAAATTTCCCTCAATACTTCTTAACAAAAGAATAAAACAAAAAAGATAAATTTAAACCCTTGAGCCACAACGCAAAGAAGAAATTTTGGAACCCACGAGATTAAATTTACCGGTCAATACAAGTAATTAAACTCGCCAAATGACATTTTACATAATGTTCAAGAGTTTGTGCAGAATCATACACAAGAAAAGAACAAGTTATTCGGTCATACAAAAATCCACAGATTGGGAACCAATGTGATCTTTTATTTCTAACAAGCCCTTCAAAATACTTCCTGCATCACCAGCCAAAAAAAAAAAAGAGGAGGAGGAAAACATAAGTAATAAGTTTTACCCAGAAATAATAATAATAATAATAATAATAATAATAATAATAATAATAATAATAATAATAATAATAATAATATCTATGCAAAACTCACAAAATAAATGATATGCAAATTCCGAATATTATTTATGCAAGAAACCTAAAACAGAAAATGAAAAGCTAGGAGGGGACTGGGGACATGAAACATCTTTCAGAAATCTTGATTTTGCGGAACTGGACAAAAAAAATAATGAAGCTTAAAATATAAATGAACAAATAAAAATTTCAGTGTTTAAAGCCGCATCGGACATTTTGACATCTGCTTACCCCAGACACCAATCTTGCACGAGGACCATTATATTTTTATCTAGCATGACTTCGCAGCTTGAAACAAATGCATTCTGACATGGTAAGGATCCCCCAGTACTGATAATAAAAGAAATTTTACAATGTAAATTATGAAAATATACAATATAATGAGATATTGCCATCCCTTATTCTCCAATTCATGGGTGAAATGAATATACAGGTTACTCCCTTTTTTACCTTTTTCTTTTCAAAGACTAAAAGTGGTAAAATAATATGGTTGGAAGAAAATCCTAAATTTTAAAGTGTTCCGAATGAAAGATCTGAACTATGTTTCAATTTTCAGAGATTGTTTTGAATATTTCACAACTCTTGGGTCCATTTGTTCGAAAGCAGAGGGAAATCTCATTTTCTTTTTTCCGAAAGATACGTAAATAAAAGAAACAAAAACAGCAAAATGCATTGTACATATCAGGTACTGTTCATGTTTCTGCTTTCCGAAAAATGTATTATGGAAAGGATAAAACAAATGCACCTTTTGTTTTCTCACAGACATGTGCATGTAGAAATGTATAAACGAAAATGCAACCAAATTGGGCTTACATCTATGGAGAGAAATGAATAACTTGGAGAGAAGCAAAAAAACAGATGGCATCACATGTACACCAGGGTTCCAAGGCATAGAGAAAATAAAGTATTGGACGTTGTGAGAATATAGATGCTGTCCATAAAATTAATTGAAACCAAAAATTTCCCATTAAGTGCTATATCTTTCGAAATAAGTATGTGCAATATTACCGAAGTCAGGACCTATAATTGTATAAATATGGGGTAATAATTACACAACCCAAATATATACTCTAATAGTGAGACTTCTTTTGTTAGGTCTCAACTTTTTTGCTATGATCTTCCCAGAGGATGATTTGTAACCTCAGCTTCTCCTGTGAAAGTAAATGGCTTTTATTTCTATTCCTCGAGAAGAAACCAGAAAATGTGGACGAGTAGTACCAAAAGCAGAATGAGCACGAGGAGGAAGAGAAGTAGAAGGGATCTAATTTTACAGGGGCAGAACCAGGTGGCAGTTGCATTGCTTTATACAATTTTATAGTTATGTTCAGGGAATAAAAGAAGAAAAGCATAACACAACCTTGAAGGGATCTGATTTCTTTTTGGTCTATCACCCTTTAGTTGTCAACCAAATATACTACTTCTCAGACTGTCTTCTATTTTAAGTAATGCTGTTGGTCTTGTTTTTTTCATAGTTATATAAGTATGTCATGGACTGAAAGGACTAGTGGTATGCCTCATTCTGTAAAGCTGACCGAAAATATTGTTTCATGCTCATTGCAAAATGAAAATCTCAGTTTGCTAAATGGTTTTAAATATTGAAGAAACAGAGGGCTTTGCCTAATTCATCAAGAAAAAAAAAGATTAATCTAACGTATACATACTACTTGGTCAGATATTATATTAATAATACTGAATTTTGAGCTTTAAACCCCCTAGCTGCCATTCTCAAATCCCTAACCCACAATCTCCAAGTTTCAACCCACCATCCTCATCACAATCTTCAGCCAAATATGTTTCTTTAGAACTCTTTAACTCTCCATATTCCAAACCACAATCCTCAACAGAATCCACACCTGGTGAAGCTTCCACAGCATCCCCTCCCTCAGATTCAAAGCCACCCAACTGAAGAGATTCAGCTGTCTAGGTCCCATTAAGAAAAATTCTATATATGAAATTTTATTTCTGATCCGCAAAGATACCATTTCTCGTTTGCTGAAAAGTTTGATTTGCCAAAAAGACATTCAACAGGTGCATGGTGACTAAAAGCACATTTTTAAATGTATATTAGTTTCTTGAGAAATATATATTGATCATCATAGATAAAAACCAGTGGAATACTGATCGACACATTTTTCCATGTTAACTGATTTTTTATTTTAGTTACAAAATGTCAATAGAATTCTGTTATATAACTCATTAGAATCGTGTTATTAATGTACTTACATTTCCTTGTAACGGTCCTACAGAGTATATCCATATGATAATTCTTCAGTGTGACAAGCATGATAATTTTATCAGTTTCATCCATTAGATTACTGAACAGGAATTGTTCATATTTTTACCACTTACCAATTCCTCACACATACATATCAATATTGTTACTTTTAGCACAGAGAAAGTACATTTTTTTACACTTCTGGATAAGTTACAAAGCAGAAATATATTGCAATATACAAGATTCAGATTCAATCAAACTAGGACATAATGTTACTACATTCTCTCCAAAGTCCATTCAAGTGAGGACAAATGTCCAGTGGACTCAATTCCTTAAACTAACAAATAGTTTCCAGATCTAAGGTTGGTTGAATTCTAAAGAGCTCCCCCCTAGAACGCTTAAACTGAAACCTGATCCCGTTCGCTAACTTAATAACAAAGATAATTAAAGTATATATGAAACTAATTTTAAACCCTAATTATGCAGGGAACAAAGGTAATCAATTATCATATACAATAAATATGAAATGAAGTGAAAGAATTGGGAAGTAGAGGAGTACCAAAAGCAGAAAAAGCCGAGAAGTGCCTAATTACAAGGTGAAGGAGAAGAAAGCATCTCCACGATCTTCTTGTCCCGTCTCTCCATTGCCACGTCCCAAACATCGTTCCCTATGTGCTTCGGCTGCCAAGAATCAATATCAGTAATCATAATCATCAAATCAAGAAGAAAATAAAAACAAATGGATCTGAAAAAATGTAAACAGATGAAGAGAAATTGATAATTACGCGGCCATTGGCTGCCTTGTGGATGAAGTATTGAGCATTTCCCATCACACAAAGCATGCTGGCTATGATTCCCAAAGGCAGCACAGCCTCGAGCCATATCATCGCCATCTCTCTCTTTCTTTGTTTCAGAAATTCACACCTGGGGTACTTTTAAAATAAGCAAGTCAAAAACCAATTTTCCACTGCAACTGAACAAATTTTTCATTCACCAAACTGACCTTTCGTTGATTAAAAGACAAAATTATCCTCAAATAATTTATACCATTACAAAGATATAAATTTGTTTAAAAAGTCAAGAATACCCTTAAGTTACAAAGTAGAAATCAAACTTTTCCTACTTAAAATTTTAAAACGGACCCACTTTCTTTATCTGTTTATTCCAACACGATAAAAACTATTTCATTTTTCATCTCTTCAACCATGAAATATCTTAAATTTATCAAACACTCAACAAAAACAATATTATTTATAGTCGTCACTTCGAATCGATAAGTATATTTATGTATTTTTAATTTCCTTTTCGTTAAATTAGTAAATTGTTTTAATCGTTAAATCTTATTCTTATATGGGCAGATAAATTTTTACAATTTTAAACAGATCTATAATTTTTTTAAAGAACAATATAAAAAATTATTTGTGATAAGATCGAGTACATCGTATACAAATATGGAATCAGCTACAATTCCAATTTGTTACTTTGGTAAATTTGAAATGAACGAAAATGATAGATCAGTGTGGAAATGGACGAGTAAAAGGCATGGTCCATCTGTAATTGTGATAAGATCGAGTACTTCGTATACAGAAAACGTAATACAATTTATAGAACAAGATCAACGTCGATTCTCTTAGTACAACATGGAATTGAGATTTCTATTCAGGGAACATACGTCCATTTCAATTCCACCTGTAATGGTTACTTCCGAAGTTGAGATGAAGGTTTTAATTAAATTAAACCAAAATCACACGACTCCTATTTACGTAACTCTAGTTAAAAAGAATGTCCCTGAGAGTGAACACGAAGATTTCGATGAAAGGGATCGCAATGTGAATGATTTTTGGAACATGATGGAGATAGTTCGTGAAGATGATATGACTATTCCCTAGACAGTTGTTCCTCATCATGATCCCATGTAACAAAATTCATTCGATAGTTCAAAACAACGAGAATGAAAATGAATTTACAAATGAGGATTTGATAGTGTTATCCCATCGGAGACATGAGTAGGGTGAGAACTCATAGACTGGAATGAGTACACGGTCCTCTTATTTTTAACTTGTAGTCCCCGATGATAAAGATTTGTATGTTGAGTAATTGTTTGAAACAAAGAAAGACTTGCGGAAGCTGCGCATGGATTACTTTGAAACACAACTTTGAGTTTTAAGTGAAGAAATTCAATAAGTCGACGTATACAATTATCTTTGTTGACGACAGTTGCTATTGATGTTTGCGAGCGACGAAGATGGACATAAATGAGTTCTTTATGGTTCGCTAGTATGCACGAAAACATACTTACGAAGTTGATATTCATCAAAATGATCACAGGAAGGCCAGAACATGGTTCATTGATCGACAAATAATGCACAAGTTTCAGGACCCACAAACGATATATAGAACTTCGGACATCATTAACGACGTTCGTCGAGAGTTTAGGGTGGTCATAAGCTGTCAAAATGTCTGGAAGCTAAGGAATGCGCATTAGAGAACTTAATGGGTTCAATCGAGGATAGTTATGCTAAATTGGCTGAGTATTACTATAACATGAAGAAAATTAATTCTAAATCGACATTTTTTATTAGACGGAGGATGAGAATAGTTTCAAGTATTTTTTCATAGCCATTGGACAATGCATTCGGGGATTTCAAAACACGATGGGACCCCTAATTCTAGTCAGCAGTACAACCCTTAAGACTATATACGAATGCAAGTTGATTATTGCAACATATCAAAATGTCAACATCCAAATTTACCCTCTTACATTCAAAATAGTTGATGAAGAGAATGATCTAGCAATGCATTGGTTCTTCAAGAAGTTGAGGGAAGTAATTGGGGACATCAAGAACATTACATTCATAACTGACCAGGGACAGTTAATAATAAATAACATCGTCGAAGTCTTTCCCGAGATACAGCATGGTTATTGTATTTATCATACATAGGACAACCTGAAAACTAAGTATCGAGGCAATGGCATTGTTGCATTATTTAGGAGAGCTACAAAGACTTATATTTTTGAAGAGTTTGATAAGTTCATGGTTGAAATATAAAGTAAATCACATGCTACATAGGAGTATCTAACAGAGATGGGATCGAATATTGGGCACGATCACATTTTTCAGGATGTCGATACAATATGATGACGTTAAAAAATGCAAAGTCGGTTGATGCATAATTCAAGAATGATAGAGAGTTGACAATTCTCGCAATGATTGAGCACATTTGTAACAAGTTACAACAATGATTTCATAATTGACATGAGGAATTACAAAGTTGCACGAGTGTGCTAACCTCGGCTCAGGAAGATAAACTCTTGAAAACTTTGGAGGTGGCGAGAAAGTGTGTGTGGAATCACTGGATTAGTTTTGCTTCTTCATGAGATGTGGCCGTTACATTGGATAAATCATGGACTTCAATGATAACACGCGCACGTGTAGAAAGTTTCAGTTAGAAAGATTTCCATGTATGCATGCAATGGCAATGGCTATACATAGAAGATTTCCAGCACATACCTTACGCAATTATTATTACATGGTTGATTATTGGATAGCATCGTATGTCGAAACGATATTTGCTGTACCAAATGAAGCTGAGTGGCAAGTTCATGACCACATTCTCTCAAATAATAATGAGTTGCCACCCGAAATTGGACCATGTACTCCTCGACGTAGACGTACGTCTAGAATACTATCTATTGGAGAATTTTTTCTACCTCGTAAGTGTAGCACAATAGGGCATATTCACTGATTTTGTACAAGTCAGATTCTCCTACATAACAACTGTCCGAATGTGTAATGTAACACCCCAAATTTATATTTACTATTTTTACATGAACCTAAATTTAACATTGGTTATTTAGTGAAATGGTCCATTATTTAATAGTTTTTTGTGTTCGAGCATTTGATGTCTCATGTTAAATTTAAATTAATAGTTTGAAATCGTAATATGTCAAGATTTTTATTTGGTAACACCTCAATCTATTGTCATAGAAAATAAAATACTAAGAATGATTTCTAACTATTTGTTTACTTATACAGTCAAATTTCTCAAAATTACACATATAATTATTCTATTACAACATGAATCACAACAAAAGTAAGTTAACAATATTTACATTTTTTAATACAATAATATACAATGTGCTATGGATCACAGTTGTATTCATACAAATCGTATACTAACTTCAACCTCCATATATCTATCTAAGATTGTTTTATTGTATCAACCTTGCGACGAATACTCAAATTCTATATACTTTATTGTGAATATACCGCAATCGTCCATACGAGTAAATAATCATATATTAGTTCGACACATATAGCTAAAAATAAGTTTTCAAATTAAAACTGGTAAGTCTCGCCATCGTCTGTCCCACATAATGCTAATCTGTCATATACTCGAATCATTGCATATCTAACTATCATGGGGACAGTCACAGCTATTGGCTCCAGCTAAGCTTGTGTCGGATAGCTATGATTTGAGTCGTACACATAGATAGTGAAATCAGCAAATGCGATCTTAATTGCAAAGCAGTGTGAGTTCGCGATTACTAAAACGTACATATGTGTACAATCTCGACCGTGAAAAGGAAACGATGCACTGTAACAACAATCTTAGCATTTTACCGACCACCAGTGCCGGCACATCAACAGTACACTTCTTTCCCTTCCTTCCTTTGTCACCCCCTCTAACACAAAGATGACATCGTCAGTCGTGTTTGGCGTCCTCTCCTCCTCCTGTATCGCCTCCGTCGCCTCTTCCAGTAATCCCTCCACTACATCCTCTTGTACTCCCTCCATCACCTTCATGGAGGCCACACCCTCTGTCGTGTGTAAAAAAATGACTCAAATGCAGCATGTGATGGCTACGACAAATCATCATACCCCATACGACCATCTCATCCATCACTCTCTCGCCTATGAAAATCGCTAGTCTCTTTGTCATCTCATCCATCCCGATAACCGCCAATCCTTCGTCTTCCCCTCTATCCCGAAAGTGGCCAATCCCTTGCAAACCTGCTATGTCACTTTGTATAGCTGCGACTTCAACATAAAGGTCTCCAGACCTAACTCGTAACTTCACCATATCGTTTTTCACCTCCCTCATAAATGTAGTCAGAAGTTCGAACAAATCATCCATGGAAGCACAACAACTACGTGCAGGAGGTGATCCTCTCGACGAAGGTGATACTGGATGACACTCCTAAAAAATGAATATTACAAATGAATAATTTAATTAAATTAGAAAAATCAAAACGACAATCAACAAATTATATTTAATTAACATACCCTATTTCGATCCACGCCTGACTCAGGCATATGATAGTCTAGCGCAATAAGAACAGACAGTTTACGGAGATAACTCTGACCCTTCTCCTCGATCGACTGTGTCAACTCGACGAGGACGTCAAGCTGGCACATTAACATTTCACCGAGTTAATGACCATATATCAAGGTTTCGAAAGGACGTACAACATTAATCGCAAATGTATAATATGTACCTCAAGATCGTCGAGGAGAGCTAATAATTGTTTGGCAAGTGGCTTGTCTTAGGCTCATTAATGATGCATACGAGGGCAGCATATCTCCCCTCTCCTTGCATATCGGCTAGCCAAGATGGGGACAGTCTCGTACGCCCATATATGCAACAATTACAATCATTATATATAGAATTTAATAAAAAAATTGGATAATTCATTATGTTAAACATTTACCTGCAAAGTCAACGGTAGGCCATATAAATTATATTTGCGCTCGAGCCTACTCTCCTTACGCATCGAATACTCTCTCCTGAAGACACGTAAATTATTTGTAAAACACCTCTGTTCCTATGGATAGTTGTTGAAAGTACCAATATCGTCAACAACTTCCAAATGAAAAACGTCAATCCACATCTTCTTGTGATAACAATTGAGTACGCTTTTGAGGATAAGCACTAAGACCAGCTTTAACT